CCGTCGTCAAACCTATCCCCGGCGGACGACGAGCAACTTCGGGTCCTTGAATCAATGTTTTGGGTTTCTAACCTAGACAAAGACATGACGACGTTCGGTACCTACGGGAGTTGGAGCCTGAGGCAACGCAGAGAAAAGCTAGAGAGAGGAAGTAGTTGCGCAGCACAAGGACTAGAGATGAAGCGAATGGGGAATTCGCGAAATTTTGGGTACTTATAGACAGCACCGCGGGAGCGCACCAATCGCGGTGGAACACGTGGCGCCTGGATACCGGTACCTACCACAGTATTAAAGGCGCCTCGATGTTACCACCCCACAGTCACCGCGAAGGAACCCGCTTTGGTGCCACGAACGTTCCCCATAGAGGCACACAGAGACCGCATCCACAGGCTGAACTCACGGGGAGACGTGCGTATCCACGGATTGCGTTCATATTTCCATGCTTTGCACCACCACAAACATTGGGGCCAGGCGAACGTCCATGCCCGAAACCTGGATTGAGCACACGGCATAAAAGGTTATGCTACTCCTAACGCAACGAACGTCTCTATCAAGGCGTTGTTTCTGAGGAGTGCGTCCGTACCCCCACACCTAATTATGCAGACGAGCGTCGCCCTAAGAAGTTTAAATGGGGCACGCGCAGCATGGATAATTATGTTTGTACCCGCATGACGGACATCTCTACCGACATTGATCCAAGGACGTACGTCCGCGTCCCCATACGTAGGATTGAATACGTACAGCGTGGGAGGTGGGCTTACACGTATGAGGTGAACTCCAAGCGATACGTTCGTACCTCGAAAGATCGGAGTACAAGAACGAAATATGGACATGAACGTCCTCGCGAACTTGGGCTATATCCCAAGAAATCGAAATACAACTAACAATGAAAGGAAACAAGAAGAGTTCATGAGCGTAGAGACAATGATGGGGCAAAAAGAGTTGTGTATTCCTCAGCTCTACTGGCCGGATATTACAGAATCATAACAAAGAGATTACAAGCTACATTAAACAAAATTCGGGGGAAACAGGCCGGGACCCCCCATGAAGGGGTTCTTCTTCCTCTTCGGGCTCGGGCTCGGGGGGTCGGAGGCTCCGGGACCTCACCCCTGGCTTTGGCTTCTTCCCGCCGGGCGTCCCGCTCCAGCTTGCCCACCGCTCGAATCAGCTCCGGGTCCGTGGTGTGCTGGGCCAGGTTGAATCCGGGGCCCTGAAGAGCGGCAAAGACCGGCAGTGTGGCTTTCACCCCCTCGTTGTAGCCAATGACAAAGGAGCTGTCTCCAACGTCGTACAAGAACTTCTCGGCCAGGGGAGCACTCTCCAGAACTTGGACCCCGAACTTGAGCCGGTCCTTCGGCGCACGCTTCTGCAGTTCAGCGGCGAATACATCGCCAAAGGCGCCCCCAAGGTACCTCTGGGCGGCGATCATGAAGGCCCCAGAGTTGTGATACCCAGAGTCGTCGACGAGCCATTCGGGGGCCTCGTCCTTGGGGGCGGGGAGAGCCGGGATGAGCTTGAATCCGGCCTTCTCCACGGCCGCAAGCTTCGCGGAAGATTCGCGAGCTACCTTCAGGGCGGCCTGCAGCTCCTTTTCCTTGGCTGCCGTCTCCTTCTCCTGAAGACGAACGGCCTCCCTCGCCTTCTTCAAGGCCGCATCTGCCTTATTCTTGGCCTGGAGGGCGTCGGCATCCCGAGCAGCCTCGGCTTGCAGGGTGGAGAGCCCGACCTACAAAATAGACACAGAGGGTGAGACCTCAGGTCAACAGAATACGATAAAATACCACCCGGCGAGGGGCGAAGTCTCACCTGAAGAGCGGCGGCCAGAACCGCATTGGAGGCCTCCGAAGACGTCCGGGGAGGCACTTCCACGCCGACCAGGGAAGCAATCTCCTGCCAGACGTCATGAGCCGGACGTCCAAGGGAAGGAAGAATCAACTCTTACTCTTCGGGGGCCGAAGAGGAAGCCCCCCGGGGCCTTTTGGACTTCTTATCCTTCGCCTTCTCCCCGTCATGGGGATGGACGGTCTGCAAGGGCGCCACGACTTCGGAAGCACCAGAATTAAGGATTGGGGCCTGGGACCCCTGTGCCATCACCGTGGCGATGAGGTGTTGTTCCGCCTCCACCGTGCGACGGTCGGCCTGAGAGGCGGAAGAGTTGGAATCGGCCGTTTGGACAGCCTTGGCCTTGGCAAGGGCAGCATCGGCAGCAGCACCTTTGCCTTTCCTCGTCTTGAGGAGCTTCTCGTGATTCATTTGTTCCTGGGTCGGGGGAAGACCTGAAAAAATGGAAAGTGACAATGTTAGATGGGCGAACGTCAGGAATAGCTCGGGACACTCACCTCAGAGGTCAGGACCGCCCAGTACCCCGAGACGAGCGTGGGAGGGGGGAAGTCCAAGAGCATGGGCGGTACCTATTCCTGCTGCGGCGAGTGCCTCGAAGGTGAGGAAGTCCTCCAAGGGCCGGACGCCGTCCGTCGAGATCTTTCTGACGTCTTCCTCCAGATCGTCGGTCAGATCCGGAGACCCTATCTTGGGCGGATAGCCATTCCACCGCAACGGCAGACGAGCATCCGCATACCGCACGAAGAAGAACCGATTTTTCCAATCGTGGATGGAACTTGGTGCACCGCTGAACAGCCTCCTTTTCGGACGGGCGGCGACGCTCAGAAAGCCGTCAGAATTTTGAGGGGTGAGCCGGTAGAAGTAATGGAACAAGTCCAGGGTGGCGGTAACCCCATTGTCCTTGCAACGGACTAGGAAAGCGGAGACGAACCGGTATGAATTCGGCATAAGTTGAGCAGGGGCTATTTGATAACAGCAGAAGAACTCCACGTAGAACGGATGGAGAGGAAAACGCAGCCCGGCCTCGATGGAGTCCAGAAGCACCATAACCATTCCCGGGCGTCTTCTCATCATATGGGTGGCGCCACGGAGGCTGTATACGGACGGAGGGGGGAAGAACACCTTGAGCTTGTTAAGGGCCACCGGCGAGAAAATCTGCTCATGGCAGAGGACATTCTTGATCGGGCATAGATGCCGCTCCACATCCACTTTTAGCCCGAGGTCAAACACTTCGATGTCAGAGCCATCCTGGGCCTCGGCCCCAGAGTCATATCCAACCGGACGACCGTCCTCGCTAGGAGAAGCCTGCTCCCCAGCATCAGCCGCGGGATCCACCACATCGAGGGCCATATTATCTTGCCCTCCCGAATCGGCACCCTCATCGCCAGGGATAGTCACAACAACATCATTCGGGGCTCCCCCGGCCCGAATAGTTCCCGCGGTAGGGGCCGAAGCGGAACTACCGGACGTACTAGTCTCGCCTGAAGAGCGTGAACCGGAGTCGGAAGAGGAGCCCGAAGAAGAACCCGACGAACCGGAATTAGAACTCGACGAAATCTCCATCGAGACCATCTCGGTGAAAATTCAAGACAGATAAAAGAAGCAGAGGATGGAAATTACCTTGCGAGGAGATTGGCCGAACTCGGAAGCGGTGAAGGACTTGAAGAGCAACGGAAATTCAAGAGCAAGAGAGCAAAAATTGGGAACCCTAATCCAGAGGGAAAACCCGGCATTTATAGGAGAAGCACCGGTGAGGGAACCAACGAGGGGTTGACGCGTAGCAAGGAGCGTATTCCGGCCCACGCGCTGTGCGTGGGATGGAAGCGTAATGATGGCGTTTCCTCGGAAAATGCACCGTCGCGATGGCAGCCGTCACCTCGATTCCTGAGCCATCGACAGCTGTTAAGCATCATGACCACGAGCGTACGCCTTCACCGGATACAACAAACGCAAGTAACAGGTCGCGAGCGTCTTACTTCCTTATGTCCTGTGCATACTCAGAACATCAGAAGTGGGGGACTTGTGTTGGGTTAATGGCCCAAGTTGAGGTTCGGCCCATTTACCCCTCCTTCCAGACGAACGTCCAGGTAGATCATCGAGCTAGCCTGGCAAACCCATTTTCCCCAGGAGAGACGAACGTCTGTGGTTGGGACCTGCTCAACGGCCCATCCCGACGAACGTCTAAGCAGGGACAAGGAGCAGGACCACGGGTCGCCGGAATGACGATGAACGTCGCCAGAACAAGCCCATGGCCGTCAGAGGCGGTCCAGTCCGCATGGCGAGAACCCACCTGGAGCCAAAGGCCAGGGGACGAACGGCCGATACCCCTTGGAGGCCACCTGGAGCAGTCCAACTCGCTCCCCTGGCGGACGGACGTGCCCACTAATTAGGCGGGAAACTTAGATTCTGGCGGGAAGTGCATTTAATGCTGAAGATTTGGTGGTTGGGACACCAGCGAACCACAGACTTCCACGTCAATATAGCCACCTGCCCATTGGTGGGTATAAATAGAAGCATTTATTTCATTGTAAAGGGTTGGCAACTTTCTATTCTTAGCACTCTAGCTATAGCATTCTTACTCGCAGCACTTCTACTGCCTTGTAAGACGAACGGCCGACGGAGCCTTAGCGAAAAGTATTGTATTAGGGAGTTATTAAGAGATAATAATACCTAATCACTTACTTGCTACTTATTGTTCTCCTTGATTCTTATTACTTGCTAGTTGGGCTAGTTTACTCACACATACTCCACTCGAAATCCTTGGGCTTACGTGTTGGACCCGAGGGTTGAAGGAATAAACCTCAACAGATTACATTGTTTGGCTAGATATGTTATTTATTTTTAAATTGCACGCAAAGTCGTTGCAGTGCTTCATAAAAGGCATGCAAAGTATTTTACCACCCTCCTGTAAGGTGTTAGAGACAGTTTCTTAATTTATTTTTGGAAACACGTTTCTTAATTTATTTTAGGAAACACATCCTAGTTACCTTGAGATTAGGATTTACTTCTCTATAAATACAAGCTCTCTCCCTTGTAATCATTGTGTGTAGATCACAAAAAAGCAATAATATTCCTGGCTTGGTAGCGCCCACAGACGTAGTCATTCGTGGCGAACTAGATTACCAAATTTCGTGTGTTCTTTAATTGTTCTTCGTGTGCGTGAGTGTAATTCCTAACAAGACACTGGTGATGCAGTTTGACGAAACGGATTACGGATTCTGGAAGTTGCAGATCGAAGATTACCTGTACGGTAGAGATCTGTATCAACCTTTGGATGATAAGCCGGAAGACATGAAGGAGAGCGATTGGAAGTTGCTGGACAGAAAAGCGATGAGCGTGGTGCGATTATCGTTGTCTAGAAACATCGCCCTACACACCGTCAAAGCAAAAACGACGAAGGAGATGTTGCAGATTTTGTCAGATATGTACGAGAAACCTTCCGCTGTGAACAAAGTTCATCTGATGAGGCATCTTTTTAACCTGAAGATGTCAGAAGGTACGTGTGTGGTGGATCATCTCAACGAGTTCAATGTGATCACCACACAGTTGAGCGCGGTTGAGATAAAATTCGATGACGAAATTCATGCCCTTATTCTGCTGTCTTCTCTCCCAGAAAGCTGGAACGGAACGATGACTGCAGTCAGCGCTTCGTCAGGGAAAGAGAAATTGAAATTCGATGAAGTCAGAAATCTGGTGGTTAGCGAAGAAATTCGCAGAAAGGAATCAGGCTTGGCTTCTAGATTGGCGTTGAGTACAGAGAACCGGGGCAGAATCAATTCGAAGTCCAAGTCAAATCGGGATAGATCAAGATCCAAATCCAAATCAAACAGCAAAGGCAAGAAGGACATAAGTCAGATCAAGTGCTGAAGCGATGGAACAGTATACTCCCGGCAATTTTGGAGAGGTGTATCTTGCTGATGATGAGCCTCTTAAAATTGTCGGGAAGGGGACAGTCCATGTGAAGACTCCGAACGGATGCATGCTGAAACTGAATGGCGTCCGACACATTCCTGGTTTGAGGAGGAATCTTCTTTCAATTGGGCAGCTAGATGAGGAAGGTTATGCAGGTACATTCGGCAGCAGAAATTAGAAGATCACCAAGGGAGCCTTGCTGGTTGCTAAAGGGAAGAAGGAGGGTACGTTGTACATGACAACGAACTCGAAGGACTGCATCGATGTTCCTGCCGCTGCAACAAACGATGTAAATTTGTGGCACTGTCGTCTCGGTTACATGAGCAAAAAGGGGATGAAGGAGCTGTGCTCGAAGGGCAAACTGCCCGGCCTGAAGACTGTTGAGGTTGGCTTATGCGAGGACTGCATATTCGGGAAACAGAAACGTGTCAGTTTCTCAAAGTGAAGGCAAGCTATCAAACCGGAGAAGTTGGAACTAGTTCACACCGACCTTTGGGGACCTGCAGAAGTTACATCCTTGGGAGGATCCGCCTACTACATGACCTTCATTGATGATGCCACAAGAAAGGTATGGGTTTATTTTCTCAAAAATAAATCTGATGCCTTTGATGCTTTCAAGAGGTGGAAAGCTCGTGTTGAGACAGAGACAGGTCCGAAGTTGAAGTGTTGATAAGTCCGTATTTAGACACGCATTTGATGCGTGTTGGGATTGGATTTTGATGGTTTTCCCAGCTTTAAGGTGTTGCAAGTCTCAATTTTAGCTCAAGTTATGTTTACCGGGCGTTGGTTCGAGTTTTGTGTCATTTGGAGTCAAAATCAATATTTTATAGTTCGGCACCGGCGCTTGAGAAGCAATCGGGATGAGTTGAGAAGCATTAGAGAGTGATTTGAGAGCCTTGGAGGTCACCGGGAGGTTCACGGGGTCAAAAGAAGATGAATGAAACTTGAAAACGATGATCAGGATGACCTTCTGTCAATCGTTCAAGCATATCTCTTTGTAGAAACAACCAATGGACACGATTCAAGTTCCGTATGAAAGCTAACTTCAAGGGAAACAAATCATATGAATACACCTTTGCGATAATTTGAGAGGAAGAAGGTGAAAACAGACGATGAAGTCAGATGATCTCTGCTGCGATTTCAGAAAGACACCTTCCACCGTTTTGATCATATGTCTTGATTGGATGATTCAAATCACATTCAGAAAATTGGGGTTGATAGATGACTTCATTATCTACAACTTTCATGAAGAAAGCATTGCCAAATTCGGAAGTTAAGTAGGCACAATCGTGCTCTCAAAGTCAGGCACGATCGTGCGTGAAGAGAAAGCATCGCGGAGTTACTGCCAGCCAGGCACGATCGTGCCTGCCCAAAATGTGCGTTTTAGCTCCGAAGGCACGATCGTGCCTAGCTCCGAAAATCCCAATTCAGCTCAAATTTCACCCAATATTTCTATTTAAACAGCCTGTAAACCCCCGTTTTCAAGGGGGAGCTTAGAGAGAGTGCCTAGCACGAATTTTAGAGGGCTTTTCGGCCTTGTTCATCAATCTTTTGGGATTCTTTGTAAGTTCCACCTTTTTAATTAATGACAATTAATTCTTTTTATTCCAATTCTATTGATTCTTCAATTATGAATTGTGAATAGTTTAATTAGGGATTGGGATTGATGAAGGGGTTGATCATGATGTATGGCTAATTTCTTGATGGATTAATTGCATAAATGCCGTTTAATTTGTGTTTGAATAATTTAACTGATATCTTTTGTAACCTAGAACGCGCTCTAGAATTACAATTGCTTGTAGAATAAATTAAGAGAGATATAGTTTATTCTAGGACACCTTCACACACACTTAATCGTTCGCTAAGAGATTAGTAGCGATTAAGGGGCCGTAAGCTCGCTCGTCTTGGCAATAATTTAGGATCTTGTCGCATGAGAGATCAGCCTGGTCCCCTAAATTATTGTACTCTACGCCGCGAGAGCGGTAAGAACTTAGTAATGATTAGCTAGACTCAATTGAATTAATTTCATGTAATTAGGCTTGATCTGCCAGAAACCTGGTTACCCCGGAATCGATCCCTGTTCCCTTCGTCATTAATTAGAAAGAACCCCCTAGTTTAATTGTTTTATTTGCATTAGTTTTATTTTCCAAACCAACCAATCTCGCACGACGCATTTATTTTATTTATTTTTAATCGCTGAATTTAATTAATTCTTGATTCTCTTTTGTCCGTCCCTGTGGAGACGATACTCGTACTTACACCACTATATTACAATCTTTTTAAGTGCGAGGAAACACACATCAAGTGTCTTCGGTCAGATAATGGGGGTGAGTATGAACTGCATGAGTTCAAGAATTTTTGTGCTGAGAATGGGGTTCGTATGGAGAAGACAACAAAGGGGACTCCGCAGCATAATGGTATTGCTGAACGCATGAACAGAACACTGAATGAGCGGGCAAGATGCATGAGGTTGAAGAGTGGCTTACCGAAGATGTTTTGGGCGGATGCAGTGAACACCGCGACTTTTCTCATCAACAGAAGTCCAACGATCTCGTTGGAGAATGGCATTCCTGAAGAAAGGTGGACATGTAAAGAGGTAAATCTGTCCTATCTCCGCATATTCGCTTGTGTTGCTTATGGTCATATCAGTTCCGTTGACCGAAGCAAGTGATAAGAACAGAAAAAATAAAATCAACGGGGTGAACTGTTGCCCAGATAATCAACGATAAATAAATACCGTTGCCCAGAGCCAAAAGGCTAAACCAACTTTTATTCCAAGATAATAAGAATGAACCCTGGCGAGGGGTATAAATAGCCTTCTACAAGCAACCCTAATCAAGCCCAAATTATTAAAATCCTAATTAGGCCCATACTACTCTACTAAGTACTCTACTAATAAAAGGCCCAAACCAAAACATAACATTAACGTAAAATAATAATAAATAATTATAAAGACAGCCCATAACCGGCCCACGGAAGTGGGCCCAAGCCCGGTCCCGCCACATGCTCTTCCCGCTTCATATCAATCCATCCTCCTTCAAAACAACCTTGTCCTCAAGGTTGGAAACTCGCGGGTCGGGGACTGAAATTTCCAGACATAGTATAGATTGGAAAATATCCTTCTTCTCTTTCCGGGACCCTTTCCTGGCCGGTTATTTCACAGAATTCATGATGCTTGAGGTCCAACTCTTCATCCTCCTCAGCTATCATTACCCGCAGTTGCTTAAAGGGACAATCATGTGTTGGTGGAAATGGTTTCTTGCACCTAAAGCATAATCCCTTCGCCCGCAGTTCTGCAAACTCTTTCGGCGGAAGTCGAGTGAACTAAAAGCGTGTCGTAGGCTGCCCGGACAGCCCTGACTTCGTCCCCGGAGGCTGTCCACTATCTTTCGCAAAGCTGTCCTCCGAACCCTGTAAGCTGCCACCAATGGCAGTCAACGGGGAACCTGTGTTTGCCATTAAAAGGCTGCTAGAACGTACCTCTGAAGAATGATAATTCAGGCTGCCACCTCCTCCACTTTAGATGGACAGATTATGCTCCACTTCGCGAGCTAATTCCATAGCCATCTCCAGGTTGTTCGGCCGAAGCAATCGCAGCGAGCTTCGCATTGCTTCCTGAAGCCCACTCATGTAATAGCCCAAGTAATGATCCTCGGACAACCCAAGAACCTGACTGGCCAACTGCACAAAAAGGTTATTATATTCTTCAATGGTCCCTAACTGTTTGGCCCCGGACAGCCGTTCAAATCGGTTGCCCTTGAACCGTGAATCAAAACGGGCCACCAGTGCATTTGTGAATTCCTCCTAAGTCAGGCCCGGTTTCCGTGCCTTCAGCCAGGTCAACCAGTACAAGGCAGCCCCTTCCATGGCTACCGTAGTTGCTGTCACTTTCCGTTCAGGTAGGGTTTGATTAATTTCAAACTGTTGCTCAGTCCTAGCCACCCACCCAATCAGGTCTTCTCCATTGAACGCTGGCAGCAAGGTCGTTGTAGAGATGCGCAGACTGTCGTTGCTTTGGTGTGCAGATGCGGCGTGCGCAGATGCGGCGTGCGCAGATGCAGCGTCACTGGTCGCTGTGGGCTCCTTCTCCGATGGGACCATGGCCTTCACGAGTGCAGCGAGCGAAGCCGCGATCTCTGCCAGTTGGGCGCCATGCTCCTCTAATTTCTGCCCCTGCACATCAAGCTTCTGTTTAATTAGGGTTTGCTCGGCCTCCATCTCGTTCAAGCGATCGTTTTGAGATCTCGTCATTCCGGCGGGACGGGGATCCGGCAGGTCGAACCAATTGATAAGAACAGAAAAAATAAAATCAACGGGGTGAACCGTTGCCCAGATAATCAACGATAAATAAATACTGTTGCCCAGAGCCAAACGGCTAAACCAACTTTTATTCCAAGATAAAAAGAATGAACCCTGGCGAGGGGTATAAATAGCCTTCTACAAACAACCCTAATCAAGCCCAAATTATTAAAATCCTAATTAGGCCCATACTACTCTACTAATAAAAGGCCCAAACCAAAACATAACATTAACTTAAAATAATAATAAATAATTATAAAGACAGCTCGTAACCGGCCCACGGAAGTGGGCCCAAGCCCGGTCCCGCCACATGCTCTTCCTGCTTCATATCAGCAAGTTAGACGCAAAATCTGTTAAGTGTACGTTCGTTGGATATGGTGGTGATGACTATGGATACAGATTCTGGGATGACCAGAATAGGAAGATTATTCAACGAACATATTATGTACAAGGACAGATTGAGTGCATCTGATTCTGAGCAAGAAAGTCTGAAGATCATAGAGTTGGATATCTCTAATTCGGGTGGGAGCAAGCAGGATCAGAATGAAGAGTTGAGCAGTGATGAGGATCCATCAACCCCGCCAAGGCAGCGGCCTGCAAGAAACCGGAGAGCACCAAATAGGTATTCACCTTCTAATTTCTATTTGTTGCTTACTGATGGTGGTGAACCGGAGTCCTATGCAGAGGTAGTTTGGGTTGATGACAAGGGCAAGTGGAAACTTGCAATGGATGATGAGATGGCATCTCTCACATCCAATGATACTTGGAGGTTAGTTGAGCTACCGAAAGGAAAGAAGGCTTTGCACTGCAAGTGGGTCTACCGTATCAAGAAGGAGGCAGATGGTAGCAAACGCTACAAAGCTAGGCTGGTTGTGAAGGGGTTTGAGCAGCGTTATGGTATTGATTACACTGACATATTCTCTCCAGTTGTGAAACTTACTACTATTCGGTTAGTGTTGAGGTTAGTTGCTGCAGAGAATTTGTTGTTACATCAAATGGATGTGAAGACTGCATTCCTTCATGGTGATCTGAATGATGAGATTTACATGGTGCAACCGGAGGGCTATGTGGCGGAAGGCAGTAAGAATCTCGTATGTAAGCTAGTGAAGAGCTTATACGGGTTGAAGCAAGCATCGAAGCAGTGGTACAAGAAATTTGATGGTTTCATGCGTGAAATCAGTTTCTTGAGATGTCACACCGACAATTGTTGCTACTACAAAAAGACCGAGAACTGTTATCTTATCTTGCTATTATATGTAGATGACATGTTGATTGCAGGAGCTAGTTCAAAGGTCAAGAAACAATTGTCAGAACGTTTTCCATGAAGGATCTTGGAGAGGCGAAGCAGATTTTGGGCATGCGAATCGAGAGGGATGAGGCAACGGGCAGATTGTATCTTTCACAGGCAGAATACATTCAGAAGGTCTTGGAAAGATTCAGAATGCAAGATGCAAAGGCAGCAAGTGTACCGTTGGGTAGTCACTTCAAGCTTAGCAAGGAAGACTCTCCGAAGAACAAGGAGGAGCGTGCTCAAATGCAGAATGTCCCATACACATCGACAATTGGCAGCATAATGTACGCGATGGTGTGCACAAGGCCAGACATTGCACATGCGGTGGGAGTAGTGAGCAGATTCATGGGAGACCCTGGGAAAGAACACTGGGAAGCTGTGAAGTTGATCATGAGGTATTTGAAAGGTACTACTTCTAATGCTTTGTGTTTTGATGGGAAGAATGTAAAGCTACTGGGACATGATGATGCAGACCTGACATCGAATGACTCGGATGGATTGAGGAGCACCACCGGGTATGTTTTTACATTTGGTGGAACGGCGGTTTCATGGCTTTCGCAGCTGCAGAAGATTGTTGCATTATCTACCACCCAAGCTGAATATGTGGCCATTACGGAGGCAAGTAAGGAGATGGTGTGGCATCAGAATTTACTTGGGGAACTTGAGAAGGAGTACAAGAATAGCATTCTTTACAGTGACAGTCAAAGTGCTATCTTCTTGGCCAACAACTCAGCTTTTCACAAGAGAACCAAACACATTCGGTTGAAGTATCACTACATCCGTCATCTTCTGAAGATAAAGGCATTGCAGCTTGTGAAGATCCATGGGAGTGAGAATCCAGCAGACATGTTTACTAAGGTGGTAACCTTGGAGAAATTGAAGCTTTGCATAGCTTCAATTGGCCTGGGTACTTGAAGATGAAGGCCGGCGCTACCATGCTTACAAGGGAGGTTTGAAGAAGACAGTCTCTAGGTGGGAGATTGTAAGGTGTTAGAGACAGTTTCTTAATTTATTTTTGGAAACACGTTTCTTAATTTATTTTAGAAAACACATCCTAGCTGCCTTGGGGTTAGGATTTACTTCTCTATAAATACAAGCTCTCTCTCTTGTAATCATTGTGTGTAGATCAGAAAAAAACAATAATATTCCTGACTTGGTAGCGCCCCCATACGTAGTCATTCGTGGCGAACTGGGTTACCAAATTTTGTGTGTTCTTTAATTGTTCTTCGTGTGCGTGAGTGTAATTCCTAACACCCCCCCCCCCACATAAAATACTTTACGTGGTACAGTGTGAAATGTTTTAAAAAAGTGTCCTACAGTTTACATTAAATAATCAAACCAAACAGTGTAAACATTTTGCGTCCTTACACTTTGCATGCAAAGTAATTACTTTACATGCTACCAAACACCCCCTCAATCTAATAATATCACCTTGTATTACCCTCACTCGCTCTTTATATTGAGACTATTTCACTCTACCTAACTCGATCACAAACCCTCACTCGCTCTTTATAGTTTATATTGACGAGGCACACCATCCAGTATTTTTCTTTTAGTTTTCCGAGCACTTTTGAAAATCGGAGTTCTTATTAACAGTCTTTCTCAGCCGTTTTTAACGGCGTGACCCTCTTGTGATAACGGAATTCAAACACATGAACCACTTTGATAAAAAATGAAACACATGACCCTATCTGAAAACGGGGTCAACCACAAGTATCTTTTCCGTTCTTTTCCCTAATTTTTATTAATAAAATAAAGAAAAAATTATATGAAAAATAGCTAAAATAGTCCTATACACAGTCTTCAGCCAATACAATCAGAAAAGTAACTTCAACCTTACTATTTCTTATTAATACACAATCCAGCGCGCGAAATCAAAAGTTATGTATTTGGTGAAAAAGTTGGATAAGAAATCTGATAAACCAGAAAACACGGTTATCAAACGAGCTCTTAATCATATTTGTGCACTCTCAAGATTAAATTTTTATTGGGTGAGGATTTAATCCCAAGCTAATTGGTGTAACCGTCCTGCGAAAAAGGTGGCCCATACTATATCAAGAATAGTTATTTCTATGAATTCACACTATATTCCGCCTAATTTGATTGTAAAACAATTGGTTAATGATCTATTCATATAGTCTGGGGCTATTTTCTATCAAAAAAAACTTTTTTGTGCATTCTATTTATATTTTAGTTATATTTGAAACAATTTCTTTAAATTATTTGTATTTTTAAAATAAAGTGTCTGTGACTTTTGTCACTTGCCACATTTTGCCCGATAGTACTTCTATCCTCACACAAATAATATTTAAGTCTCGCATAAATAAAATATTACTGAAAATCTTGTACGTATAAACAAAGAAGAATTTGGTTTTACAAATTAATAATACATATTTGGTCAAAAAAATAATTAATTATAAATATAGCAATTTAAATTTTAACAGACACACGTCTTTCTTATTGGAGAAGATGTTATATATACATAGTACTCCCTCCGTCCCGTTAGAAGGTTCTCACTTTCCTTTTTTGGACGTCCCATTAGAAGGTTCTCATTTCCATTTTAGGAAACAATTAACAATCTTAAGTGACAAATTAGTCATTAAATATTAAAAATAATACATTTATAACATCTCAACTATCTATACTAACACATTATAATATATATCTATTAAAATTATTTCTCAAAATATTTCCGAAGTACTTTATTTAATTATCACCTAAATAACTGTGCCGTTTTGCTCTAGGAACCTTCTAGCGTGACGGAAGTAGTATAATACTATAATGTAATCATTACAAAGAGTCTTCGGTGCAAATAGGCAAAACATGTTAATTTAAGACAACATGATTCACACTTCTCCCAACATGTTTAAAACACACATTAAGGGTAAAGATTTGAAATGTAAATTACTACTATCTTTACACGTGCCGTGCACGAGATAAAATAGTTTTGTTTTAGTTTTAGTGTATATGTGTGTGCATCGGGAGTTATTTAGTCGATCGATTATATCATTGGTTGATAATTCATATTATTATTTATTGGATATGTCTTACTTTTTTTTTACTCCAGGGGGCGTTTGGGGGAGGGGAATCTGGGGGGCCGGAGGAAACTGGGTTGAAACTCACTCCATTGAGTTTTGAGCCCGAGACTTCCCATAAGATAGAGTGAGTCGGCGACCAACTGAACTGGACCGCTTCCTCGTTGAGTATGTCTTGTTTCTTAACTAATTATCTAAACTAAACATGTTCTTATTCTATAGTTTCAATTAAAAAAGCCTTTTTTTATAGCTCTCAGTTGCATCCAAACGAACTTTTTCTTTCAACCACCTTTATTTAAACAAAAAAAAGAATGCTCAAGGCCTATTTTTATCCATTAGATTTCATCCTATCCGTAGCTTACTATTTTTTCAAAACTAATATGGTGTACAATATAGAAGTATGTTACTACTATCTTTTTGCCTTCAAAACTATTTTTTTGCCTTCCGGGATAAAAAAAAAAAAAAAAAAAAAAAAAAAAAAAATATAGAAGTATGTTAAACTTAGTTTATGATTGCAATTAATGTTGAGGTCTAAACTATGAAAATTAAAGGATAAACATATGTAGTACCGAGAATAGAAATTGTTGAGGTCAATTCCTCCGTTCCCAAAGGCCCAACACCTTCATTTGGGGATTCGCCTGATGTTTTATTGAGTTTCATATATGAGGTGACACGAGCAATAAATGATTAAATGAACGTGGAAGATCAGTAAGTGGATCGAGTTCTTATTAAGAGTTAATAACGAACAATTACAGCACAACACACCCAAGACATGGTTGTTGTAACACCGTCCCCAAATATATTTACCTTTATGTAAATTATGTATTGAATATGGTGTATCGAGTAATGAATTTACGAGGTTGTAAATTTTTGTCATTTCTTTTGCGTGAATTGTAAATTCCACGTGGGGCTCACACTCGGAACGGGGGGTGACCCGATAACACGAGACCACATGTTATATTCATCTTGGTCTAGATAATAGTTACATGGTGGTGGACATTCATAATGGGCCATAAGAAAGGCATTGGGTTGACCAGTTTGTCAAACAGAGCCCAATTACCAGTACTGGCAATTTTTCAGATAACAGTCCGAAATGAATTTCGGAGACTTTTAAATTAAAGTTGGGGAATGTATATTCATTCTTAAGATCCATAATGATTGTGGACATGTAATATATTTTATTTGACCCGATAAAATAAAATATAATTAAAACAGTCCGAGAAATACAACTTTTGGGGTCGATTGTACACACCGGGACACAAAGGGATGACCTCCCACATGTGTGGGGGCCACCCCACGGTTTTTTCAACTCTTGGAGACTTGATTGAGTGCAAATGGGGCTGAAAACCCTTGAAGGGATGGGGGAGACCATCTTGACACCTAAGGGACCCCTCTCACACTCATATGGCCAATATGCCAAAAAGGAAAACCCACCCCATCTCCCTCATCATCCAACTTCAACCAAGACACCAAGGAGAGAGTGTGACCTCTGAAAACCTCCATCTCCATTGTTGAAGAAAGCTCCAAGAGCAAGGAACTCAAGGAAGGAGAAGGAGTTGCAAAAGTAGAGAAAAACCTTGGGAAGAAAGGTAAAAAACTCTTGAACAACTTTTCTCCTATCTTTTGATTTTCATATGAGTTATAGATCATATGAAATACCCTTGGGGTAGTTCCACACGTTAAAAGTGTAGAATGAAGGGTTGAAAGATGGTTCTAAGTCCAAGAACGGACTTAGAGGCCGAAGAGACCGGTTCGCCGGAAAATAACCTTTTAGAGGTTATTTGTATTAATTTGGGTTTTGTAATGATAAAAACTTGTTAGGCACTTGTCAAAGGTGATTCAAGAGCCTTCACGAAGTTTAAAGAGTCGCCGGAGTTATCGCCGGAGTTCTTCAAAGTTCGCCGGAGTTTCACCGGAGTTCAACCGAGAAGGGTAGAACTTCATCACGCTCATTCGAGGTGAGTGGACGGCTTAATGTCTTATAACTCTTGGGTTAAGTATGAGATTACCTAAGTAAATGTTATAAGTTTTCATAATGATGTTTAAAAGAGTTTAAGCATGTGATTAGCCAAGGTGATTAGGCTTATGTGAATGAAACTACATGATTAGGCATGTGGAAAGTAGAAAAATGTATATAAAAACATATGTGATGTTTTGGATGGCCAAACTGGCATTTATTAATTGTTTTAGACATGACATAGGTTGTATAAAAATTTCAGATCAAACGGATCACGTTTCGGGGGTCAACTCGGGGGTCAACGGGCCGTTGACCCAAAACTCCGAACATACCCGGCGCCGGGTATAGGGCATACCCGGGGCTGGGTAAGCTGCTGCCTCCATATTACGTTTTCGCCGAAAACGCGAATCGGAGCCCGGTTCGAAAGGGGGTTGACCCCGTACAACCTATGTGTGTATATTGTGCATGGAATTGCATGGAATATGATATTTAAATGTCAAGGTTGAGATTTATTGATTTAATTCTAAGACTTGGTTTAGTCTTTAGTAATAATATGATATAGACCCTATCTAGTGTGATATGTGGTAAGTCATAGGTCGGGTGGAGTACCCAGGGATCGGGCGTGTATCCTCAAAACTCGGTTATAGGGTGGAGTACCCAAGGATCGGGCGGTTATCCTCAAAACTCGGTTATAGGGTGGAGTACCCAAGGATCGGGCGGTTATCCTCAAAACTCGGTTATAGGGTGGAGTACCCAAGGATCGGGCGGTTATCCTCAAAACTCGGTTATAGGGTGGAGTACCCAAGGATCGAGCGTGTATCCTCAAAACTCATAGATTACATTTTAATGATCTAGGACCGGGTGGTGTCCTTATGATAATTGATTGAACCAGGAGGAGTTCTATACACTCATAGGTATATGGGTGGGATAGGTTCTTAGTCAAGGATATTGACTACCACTGTTTCCCGAATAAACGATGACCTACGGGTTGGGTATTTTCCAAGTGTATAAATATATTGATATGTATTTCAGAACTTGGGGGGAAAGGACTACATGTATATGTGTCACCCTATGTTTGGGTCTTATACTTGAAACGTTAGTTATTCTACATTTAGCCTGCTACTCGCTCGGTACTTGTACTGACCCCTTCGGGGGGGGGGGGGCACCATTTCAGGTTGAAGCTCAAGTTTGCTATTTTCACCTTGCTCGGTGAAGTGATCCAAGGGGAGACGTGGTTCGTGCTTCCTTTATTGTTTTGAACTATAAACTATGCTCATGGATACTTTGTAACAAATACATTTGTTTTGGGCCTGCGTGCCTACGTGTTGGCCATGTGTGGCCCATGATTGAATATTGAATAATTCCGCTATTCGTTCAATCTAAATATGTGATGTTGTTATGTATGTTTACTTACTGAGTATGGTATGGACTATGTTCATAGACGCCTTGTGTGACTAAGTCACGTTGACTCGCGGGTGACGTCGTTTAGTCATACGGCGGTTGTACACACGCTCAGATGCGGTCTGGGGCATGACAATTGTCCTTCTTTTGACCCTTGATCATTATATCATCCATGTAGGTCTTCATAATAATGATGAGTACCTCCTTGAACAATATCCCGATCATCCTCTGAAATGTTGTCATCGTGTTCCGCAGGCCAAGCGACATGACGATGCAGCAGTACACACCGTCCGACGTGAAGAATGCGGTTTTCTCTGCATCATCCAGGTGCTTAAATATCTAATGATAGCCCTGGAATGCGTCCATGAAGTTGAGCAGCTCGCAACCTGTTGTTTCGTCCACCAACAGATCGATCCTCAACACGAGATAGGGATCCATTAGACAAGCCTTATTCAAATCGGAATAATCCGCACACATCCGCCAAGTAGGAGTAGGAGTGTAGGACCCTTGGGGGCCAGGACGACGTTGGATAACCACTCCACGTGGATAACCGGACGAATGTGGCGGATGCTGAGCAGTGTGGTGACTTTTAGCTTGATGAAACCCGCTGCTCGGCCGCCATGTACCTCTTCTTCTGTTGTATTGGCTTTGCATCAGGCCGAACGGCCAACCCGTGGCAGATTATTTCTGGGTCTATCCCCGGCACGTCCTCCGGCCCCCCGGGCGAATAGAATCTTATACCTCAGGAGGACTAGGTGATAGAGTTGTATTTTTATTATGTATTATTTCTATTTTAACTAGTTTTATTTGTTGTTGTTTGGAAAATTACACACTTTTGGTGTAATTAGTTAATTTTCTTAGATAGATGTAATTTGTTTAGATTAGGATTATTCTGAGCTTAAAACAGGTCAAGATCATCCAAAGGATCAAGTTTGGACTCCAAAAGATCAAGGAAAGTGCAAGGGGACAAGATAAAAAGGAAGATTGAAAAAAATATTTCATATACCCGGTCAGGTATAGGCAATACCCGATCGGGTATTGAGTTGATTCGGGTGTCAAAATCAGAATCTGGAGAGACAAAAGACGTGCAGGATTTTGACTTTTTGGCTCATACCCGACCGGGTATGCCAACATACCCGACCGGGTATGTCCCGAAAAGTCATTTTCCGGGAAACTGCCTAAAATACCCGATCGGGTACCCTATATACCCGGTCGGGTACACTACCCTGTCACCTCCAAACACCTATAAATACACCCCTTTTCCTTCACAATAATATTATTCCTTCTTCCATACTCTTAAGCTCAACTTATAATAATATTTCTTTTATATTAGCATGTTTAGTCTCCAAATGAGGAGCTAAACTTCCATTTCTTGGTGTTGCTCTTGAAGCTTGTTGATTATTAAAGTTGTGAGTTATTTTCTTAACTTCTTCCCTTGAATATTAATTCTTCTTTTAATCTATCTATATATTAATGTTGGGGAGTGTTGCTAAGATGACAATTAGTTAACATCTCGACATTAGTTATAGCAGGATTTATCATCTTTAATATTCTTCCTTGAATATTAATTAATTCCTATTCATATTTCATATTAATATTTTGAACATTACTTAAAGGATCAACTAGTTTTGTTTCATTTTTTAATTATTACTAGAATCGATCAACGAATACGCTTGTTAATCGTTGATGGTTTCACAAGTAAGTAACTTCGGTTTATTAATGCACGGTCGTGGTTAATAAACTTAAGAGGGATTAATTTTGTTGGTTAAACCAAAACCGTTGTGTTGAGGTTATCAATCTCAATTGATTTCATCAAGGAGTTAAGAGATTAAATGCTACTATCAAGTTGGTATATGGCGGTGTTCTATACTTGACTAATAGTAAAGGTTATTAATGAACGAGGTCGTTGTTAATAACTACCCTCAATGAATTGGATATACTCCTCCATTGAGTATTCGAGAGGGGATAAGTTATAGATATAACAATGATCGACTAAAATATATCAACAAGTGGAAAGTAGCAATGCCAAGTCCTTTTTATCTTTGAATTAGATCACATATAAGTCGTTCATCTTCGTGTTTAATTAAAATTAAATCACTCAAACCCAAAACCCCCCTTTTATTTACTTGTTTCATTTAAAAAGATAATTATTCCTTTCCATGTGGATATGAACTCTACTTCACCTATACTACGTATAAGTGTTAGTATCGAATTTATTTTGACGCACCGTGACAAAGTGCTAGTCACTAGGATCCCCTCTTGAATCTCCAGCTCAAGATCAGTGCCAATAGATATTTTCCTGTTTGAGAGGTTGTCCAGATCGACCTCTTCTAGGAGCGTAGTCGGCTCCGACCGGGCTATAATGTTAGCGCGCCGGGTGGACTCTGCGATGTTGTTCACCCACATGTCATAGACATTCACCTTCTTCATCGCCTCCTTGTAGCACGTCCTTGTCGTACGTGGATTGGTGCGGGCCACCCCCACCCAGTCCCAGTGGGGAATTTGATGCAAGAGTGCCGCATGGAGCAGATGGCCTCCAGATCCTCCAGCCGGGTCGACCTTGGATGGCATTATGCGCACATTTTATGCGGTCAGCCACGAAGGTCATGGGGATCGCCGCTCGGTGAAGCCCATCGCCGATCTCCATAGGTAAGGAGATAGTTCCCTCTACATCTATGCAATCTCCCACAAAGCCTGCCAACGGGGTCAGCAGGAGTGTCAGCTCACTCCTGCTCAGGCCAATCCTCTTTAAGACATCCCAATACATGACATTGACATTGTTGCCCGTGTCAACCAGGATCGGCCTGACAATGTCGTTTTTTATATCCATGTTGATGATTAACTCACCTTGGTGCGTGCGGCCCTGGGGAGCCGGGCAATTCTGATGGCCCAAAAGTGAAGGGTTAAATTTTTTTCCTTTGGGGGGGAGCGAATATGGAACCCACATAGAGGGCCCGCTCATACTTTTTCCCATCGCCAGGGGTATCCCTTGTTTCCGCCCCATCAAAGATCACCTTGATCTCCATTTTCTTCTCGCCTTGGGCCCCGAGAGAGCCCTCAGGGCGCTGGTCCACCCTTCGGTAGTCTACGTCCTTTGGTTTGACCTCTTGTCGATCGTCCCTTCGCCAAGTGTTGGGCTTCTTGTAGGGACATGTTTTGTACTATTATGTCGGCCCCTTGACATACTAACAGAGGTACCCCCTCTGGATGAGGTCCTCGATGGTCAGTTTGAGGCTATTGCACCCCTCAGTGTTGTGCCTCCTTCGGCAGTGATACTTACAGAAAGTATCATGTTGGTCGCTCATCTTCACAGTCGTGTCCGTGGGGGGAGCGATGATCCCCCTATCCTTGATGTTCTCATAAATTTGGGGCATGGGGGAGTACCAGCGGGGTGAAGTAAGGGTGTCCTTCCTGTGGTGCATTGTAGGGCGCCCTCAGGGTGAACCCGGCGATCGTCTTCTTACGCTTGGCCGAGAGCCCGAGAGTGACTTCCTTGACCCTGGGCCCAACCGATCTGCCATCTTGCGGGCTTTAGGAGCTGTTGACGGTCCCTTAGAACGATTTCCTATTCTTAGCTGGTCCCCAGATTCCTCTTCAGATCCTGATAGAGGTCCCCCGTCGCCAAAGCATTGGAGAAGAGGGTAATGCATGTGCATTCGGTCAGGTCCTCAACCTTTAATGCCTCGTCCCTCCATCAGATCAGGAAAGCGGAGAAGGACTCCCTCGCGCTTTGGCGGACGCTCGTCAGCGAGCTGAAATGCTTCTTTGGCATGGAGCTAGAATCAAATTATGCCATGAACTGCATTGATAGCTGATCAAAACTATCGATGGTCCCAGACCGCAGCTGGCCAAACCATTCCTAGCAGGTCCCGGGAGGGTGCTGAAGAACAACATGTAAATGGCATCGTCGGATGCCCCCAACATGGTGAGCCCACCCTGAAAAGTGAGCAGGTGGTTTTTTTGGGTCCCCGACCCCATCGTAAACCAACGTGCTTGGCAGCCTGCATTCCCGCAGGATCTCGACGGCCATTATTCTTGGAGAGAAAGGAGATGTGATAAGTTCATATTTCAACCCGCATTCGATGCGTGTTGGGAATGAGTTTTGTCACTTTTCCTAATCTAAATGAGTCACAAAGCGTTTAATTTTAGCTCAAGTCACGGTTTACCGGGTTTGGTTTGCGTTCGTTGAGAAAATCAGGAATTTGGACCCGACATCGGCGCTGGAGTTTGATTTGAGAAGATTTGGAACGCGTTCGAGAGATGACAAGAAATATCAGAGGTCCACGAGATGATTTTTTTTGAAAGAAAACAACTTTATTCATAAAATAAGAATATTATAATGCAAAAAGATAAATAAAGGGGAAAAAGTAAAAAAAAAAAGAAATAAATAAAAAGTAAAGACAAAAACTAGACCCAAGGAAAATCTCTGGTTTGTGATATGGTCGTCATGTTATGTCGCCTTTTATTTTTTATTTTTTATTTTTTATTTTTTATTTTTTAGCCCGGAAGGTCAACCACCAAAATCAGTGGGGTAAATGTCGGGCAGCATTTACCAGATTTTATTGAAATAGTAGAAGATACAAAAAGAGGGGGACTAGGACAAAACCTCTTTAAATGAATACATAAATAAATTAAAGATCAACTCAATAAAATAAAAATTGGGGGGGGGGGGGGGGGGACCAAACCTTACCCAATAAAACAATTAAACATACCTAAAAGAAGGGATCCCAAATAAGTCACCATAATATGCCTGACGGGCCTGAGTGGGCAGATCTTTGGGCCTATAAAAAGTCTGAATAAAGCCCAAGGAAGAAGAAGCAAGATAATGGACAGTCCATTTATGTCGTCTTTTATTCTTTTGAGATTTCTTGTAGATTTTAAGTTGTGTATTCAGCATTTCTGTTGGCAGGCATTTTTCATGTGTGATTTGCTGTGATTTACGGCAAATCATTCTATTGAATTTGGAGTTCCTGATTTCTTCCTTCTTTGATAAGGGGGGACGACGATCGCTTTTGGTTGTAGTTCTAGAAAGTCGTCTGAAAAGAAAGAGTCATCAGAATGATCATAGCTGTCTCATGCATCAGAGTATGCTTGGATTAGTGGGTTTTGTGGTTCTTTCTCAAATGTGATGAGTTGGTGGGTCTCGCCAAAGCTCTCTGAACTTCATAGTTAAAAATGAGTTTGGAAATGGTGATTTCCTCAGAGTCACCCGAAGTGTCATGCTCCCAAAGCCTGACTTCTTCCTGCTCTAGAACAGATAATCCAACAAAATTAGAAAATAATGTCAAAAAATCATTGAGATTGGATTTGCATGGGCCCATGGTGACTAAAATGGAGGTCCCCTTTTCCTTAGCCATTTTCATATAATAGCCTGATTTGTTGAGTTCAGTAGACACTGTGATCGACCCTATTTTTCTGCTCCGCTT